GTGAAATCCAATAAATCGGATTTATCTCCTAATTTGCCACCCTTCTATGATAAAAAGCTGATCTCAAAAGTTTGTGGTATTACATCTATTTGCCAAGTTTTATTGAAAGAGAAAGTAGGTGAAATCCAATAAATCGGATTTATCTCCTAATTTGCCACCCTTAGAAATGGAATATTAGTAATCGGACTAAAGTAGTGGAGGATTAAACGCCCCAAATTTACCACCGTTAAGGCTTACAGTTATGCGTAATCCTAGCTGGATTATTTTTTGGACGAAGTGTTTTGTAGAATTTATTTTTTATGTTCCATCAAACCATCGCTGTATCAACGCTATGCTAATATTATGGGTATATTTTTACTGCCCAACATATTTTGTTATTAAAACAATAATCTTTTTACATCGCTTTTACGATTCGATCTAGACGCAGAAATAACATTTGTATGCAGTTGAACTAACATGTTTTATGATCAGCCTGAGTTGGTCTTCCACATTTCTTTCTTCGTTTTTTTAAATGGATTTGTAGTTACAGGAGTCGGGGATCTTCATAAAATTGTTGAGCTTATGGGATTAGCCGAGATACCCAGTTGAAAAGTCGTAAATTAGAAATAATGTTTCTTAGAGACTAGTTATCGACGATTTAACCAAGTTTTGATGGAAAATTCCAACGTACTAGATATAAAACATCTTAGGCTAAAAAAAACTGTATGTATTGTTTTCACATGTTCAGTTACTATAGTATCGTGAAACGTATTCCAATTGAAACAACAGAATTAGTAGCAAAGGGTAGCTTCTCTTGAAATGAATTCTCATATTCACGACATATTTTTTATTTACCAAGCCAGTTTATAAATTTCCAAAACGTCGTACCATTGCAGACGCATTTGAATGTTGGATTATGATGCATAAATTCTGAAGCGGTTTGTCTGAGAACACGAATGAGGTTCAATTAATCCAAAGTGATACGATTTAGAAAATGGTGATTACTAACAGTGTTGAAAAGGAAGTTGGACGTTTTGATACAGTCGGCTTACAAAAAAATCTCTTTGTAAATATGCGATCCCTTATTTATCCAGTTATATTACTTACTTCTCTAAGTTTATTGAATATAATTCAAAACTAGAATTCTGAATGATCTCAGTACAGAGTACTAAAAAAACCGACCTCAAAAGTACGTGGAATTACATATAATTACCAAGTTTTATTGAAATCGGTTACCGGAAAGTGCGCAAACCCGGCTTCATCCCCTAGTTCGCCACTATACGGGACTTGACACAGGCGATAATAAAAATCGGTTCTTACTACTCAAGGTGTATTGAGAGAGAAAAACGCCTTGAATTGGAGAATAACAAAATCAACCATTAAAATAATTGCTCCTTATAATCAAATTTAGGCGCTTTTTATAAAAATGAATCTTCATGCGTGAACAGCCACCCTTATGATTTTCTTCAAATTTAAACGGAACCACTATGGAGGTACCCTCTTTCCAACAAAAAAAGAATCATGAGAATCAAATCGAATTGGAACCTCCTCCTTTTTTTGAAGTCGGTTAAATTTCTAAACATAGAACTATAATATATGATCCTTCCAAACTGTATTTTTCAAATTTTTTTCGGAAAATCACTTAACAATAGTCTTGTGTTGGATAGATCCAACGCTGAAAGCACTACACCGTTGCGAATTTGTGGCCTAAGGGCGTCTTTAAATTAAACGCTCACACAAGCGCTACTTACAATCTCATGTAGCTTTCTTATACTAAGGGTACGAAGTATGTTTAAAAAAAAAAGAAAAAAAAAATCACTAACTCATCTTGTTAAACGAAGACAAATCGAGGTTCAGTGAACTAATCAAAAGTGTTTAATCTTTCCGTGTGTCTATCTTAAAACTTAAATAGTACCAAGATGTTAGGGCGTCGCAATTAAAAGTGCAATAAATTAAAATTAAGAAATGTTTGTTAAAAAGAACATTATTTTTAAAAGAAAGCCTAATATAATTTAAAAATGAATAATAAAAATAAAAATTTCAAGACGTTAAAAACTAAAAACAAACATCTGCAACAAGCACAGAAACATTCGTAAGGTCCACTAGTTAGTTCCGTGACTTAGTTGGTATAGCGTCTGGCACGGTTTGCAGGAAGACGTTGGTTCGAATCCAGCCGGATTGAAGGAATTGTTTCTTAGTGTTCGATCTTTGTATTAATAATTTTAAAAATCTATTTATATTCTAGATACCAGTCATAAAAACCACCGGACTGGTAGGTAGTTCAGATAGCTGAATGGCGCGACAAAAATTAAGTTACTTTATTCTTACCATAAATCAGTATTGTAGCTCTTTCACCAAGCAACTATTAAGTAATCTGTGCTTTCAGTGGGAAGACAACAAGCTGAGTTGACGTCGGATGCCATAATAGCAAATAACGCACACTGTTATTTTCATTATTTATTTGTTACAAATATTTATTTCAATTACTTATTTGGTCGTACTATTTGTAAAATTAGATATGAAAGTGCTTTCCAATTTATTTTATGTTTTAGATAAACTGTGTTCACTAGTATGACACAAATACAGATTGAATACAACAGGAATTTCATTTATAATTAAAGATCTAATAAACGACTAGGAGGGAAATTGTTCATTTAAATTATTAATGTTATAAAATGTGAATAGTGCATCTAAAGTAACCTATTCAAACGTAGTGTGAAGAAGCATTTGGCCAGACCGGCAAAATGATAGTGACGGAGTGAAGATATTTGTGTTTTCCATCCGTTACTCTCATCTCTGGACTGTATTCGCACTTTCCATCAGGCGCGGTGCAGTCATTTTGCCGAGTCACAATAAAAAAAAAAAAAAAAAAATTCAATATGTAAGTGCATGTGCGGATTTGAATATATAAGTGTAACTGTAAGTGGAAATATGTTTTGGTGTAATAAATCAAAGTATATTTAGAAAGGCTACGAAGAAGAGTATATGGGGTATATGAAAACTAATATTAATAGTAAATTTCAACAAATTAGATAGATTTTTGTAACGAGGTATGTGCTGCATGTAAATTGCTTTGAATTTGTGTTTGAATGGTTTTAATCGTAATGTATTTATAAAAATGTCTACGTGCTTTTTACTGCATATTTAAACGCTTTTGTATTATATTGTAACACATTAATATCATAATGATTACGTCTGAGTGTAGAATTACGTTTTTAAATAGCTTAACTGTAAGAGGCAACCAAGAAAAAAGACATTCAATTTCTATTAACAAATGTCAAAAAGAGTGAAAAATCACACGTAAGCCTCCTAAAATTATGCAAACGTTACTTCTAACAACGTTCACACGAGTCTCCGAAAAACGATAACAGAAACTATCAAAATGAACTGCACACAGGTTCGGGTTAATAGACTCTAAACACGCTATTAAAATCCCATCTTTTATAAAAACGCCACTAAATACAACCGTAGACACATGGTCTTGCTTAGATGTTAGGGTTCAAAATTGAAAATAGACTGCTTTTATAATAGCAGATAATACACCAAACCACACTCGTAACCCCAGTGACACGTAGAAGATAAATCAAGCAGCATTAACTACCGACATAATTCAGCTTATCTATCACATAACTAGGAAATAAAATTATAATACGAATGTCAGGGTGGTAATTGCTGAATATTTTATGGGTACTAAAGTTTTATTTGTTTTCGTTAAGTAATTTGTTAATTTTTTACACTATCATCATTATCTATAAATTGTGTTCACTTTATATGTATGTGTAAGTTATTTTTTTGTGGATAGGTGTATACTCCAAGCATTCGTATGAAGCGTTCCGCTTCCACTTTAAGGCTGCCTTCCACCAGATATGTGCGGTGCGAAAATGTGTAGCGGCGCTGTGAAACGGTGTAATGTTTTCCACCAAACGAACTCGCGACGTTGCGAACTCTTTTTAGCTATGCGCGGGCGGGGTACGGTGTGGTGGGATCAGCGGTGGCAATATCTCAGTGTCAGTCAGTATCATACTTTCAGTAGCTCTAGTTTCCTACACCGTTTTGCACACATCTCTCGCACACATTTCTCGCTATTTTGTATGTACAAATACTTAGCTCCGCTAACCCTTTTCGACCGGAGCTGCGCTAAGCGAGGCTAGGAAGATGTAGTAATTCTATTGGTGGATTCTTTCCTCGCACACTGCTTCGGTACGTCGCACATCTCTGGTGGAAAAGCAGCCTAGTATGGCGAACGGCTATGGACTGAAATTCCCTGCTTGCAAACTTATTCCCTGAACGGTATAACATGGGCCTTTTCAAGGTGAGAGTGAATGGGTATTGTTTAGGTGTGCATGCTCCATCGTCGACCTCATCGTCACTTTCT